AGGGAACAGCAGCTCTGACTTTTAGGATGACAGCTCTAGAGGCTGAGTGGAAAGACCTGAACCGGGAGAGACAGGAGTCAGTTAAGAAGTTGCTACAATGATCTAGAGCAAAGGCTCTCAGCCTGGGGAACCGCGCCCCACGGGGGACATGTGGTTGTCACGACCGGGGGATATTATGGCATCCAGCGGGCTAAGGCCAGGGATGCTGATCGGTACCCTCCAAAGCACAGGAAACCACCTCAACAAAGAACTGTCCAGCCCAAAGTGCCAGCAGTGCCAAGGCTGAGCTGGATGTCAGGTAATAAAGGTCGGACTCTGGAGGCATTTCCGAGGCCAAGCTAACAGGATTTCACAGCTGATTAGATGTTGGATGAGAGAAGGAAGGAGTCAAAAATGAAAGCTTTTGGAAAAGCAAGTGGATGGGGTTGAAGAAATAGGAATTGGAAATGGTGGTGTAACTGAGGGAAAAGATGATGAAACTGGTCTGAGGTGTGTTAATGAGACTGTGGACACCAAAGCAGAGACACCTGCAGCCTGAAAGAAAGGCTGGATTAGAAGTGAAGACCGGGAAGTATTCAGACATAGATGATAATTAATGACAAGGGCGGATGAGAACACACAGAGGAAGAAAATAATCCTACAGAATAAAAAATAAGTATTTTTTTAAGAAACAAGATGAAGGAAAAGTCAGAAATGGAAGAAAGGATAGTCCAAAAAAGAAACACAGGTTAACAGGACATCTTTAGAAACCAGAGTGTGTGAGGAAGTTGAGGATGTGACCAGTGTCAAATGATGTGGACACAGGAGAATAAGGCACAGGCTCTGATGAAGGTAATGCTTCAAAAGAGAAGAGAGAATGAAGCAGGTAACGTCAAGAACCTCAAATTTGTGGACTCAAAGCCTCAAGGACCTCCACAGTCCACTCCACTTGCAAATAGCAATGACGGAAGTAAAAAAGAAGCTGAAAGCGGTTACTCTTGGTCATTAGATCTTTGATCTCTTCAACAATAACTTCATTTGCTGCTGTTAGCAACTCATATTTTCCATCTTTACTTCCTGAGGGATTAAATTCGGAAGAAGGGTTGCCAGGGTCTCCAAAGAAGTCTCCAAGTCTGCCATTCTTTCCAGGATATAAGAATCGACTGAAACAACAGGGGGAAGGAAAAAAAAAACCCTAGTTACACCAGGACTCAATGCTCTCAGTAAACATCGGAATGAAACTCAGCAGAGACAACAAAACCACACCAATTCCAGACTCTCAAGATTCCATAGTAAATTTCAGTTTTTAAAAATTTATAAAATTGGCAGACATGAGTCTACCACCACAGAAGGTTCGATGATTACACTGTCTTCTAATAAAAAAAAAAAAAGGTACTGGCTTATAGTCTCTTGAAATGCTTTAGGGTGGCTCTCACTCTGCCTTATCAGATGACCAGTGAAAGAGACTCATTCCAAATTCTTATTCACTACTCGTTTATCATTTGAGATCCATTGATCTACTCCAGTAATATCTGGCCCAGGGGTCCCTGAAAAGCTCCGCCTCGGGCTCCATGACTTTGACAGTTATCATATAAAACATTCCTGATTTTCTGAAAAAATGAAAACTCTGCCTGTCACAGCTTCTACTAATATCGTAACCAAATTAGCATTGTCTTTTTCACTCAGTTCTGAGAAAAATGTACAATCATGACGGGAGCAGGAGCGCTCACCTGTCGGCCCGTGGGCTCTTTTAACACAGAGTGGGAAAAGCTGAGAAGTAGACACTAACCTCAGCTGAAATCTGTTGGTAAACAAGAGTCACTCCTACCGTGATGCGACATTTAACTGAGACACAGTGGAGCTGTATCTTCCATGAGGATTAGATTCTACAGCGTATAACATGACAAGTAAATATGGTTATTCTTCATGAAAATCTTTACTGCATGCGTGGCCATATTTGCAAATCAGCTGCAGTCTGATGCACCATCTTGCAGTGACTCCAGCACAGCCAGCTTTTACACCGGTGTTAGAAAAGGTCACTGTTTCTTCAGCCAAGCAGCAGATGGAGTAGTTGGCTTGGGTTTAGGAGCCAATGTTATGAGCAAAATCCTTATTTATAAACCCTAAGTCCCACACAGAGCAGTGAAATATTCATAACAAGAGAGGTACGCAGAAGCCAAGAACTGGCTGCAGGGAAAGGAATCGCGTCTCATCTCACCCGCTCCCTGGGGCAGACCCAGGAGCAAAGCAGGATGGGAGCTGCCCACCCCATTTGATAATTCTCTTTTTTGCCTGGAGAACACAGGTGAATCCGCTTGAGTTAAACGTGTACATGATGCAACTCTACCATACATCAGCTGATGAGTTTTCAATATTTGCACCTATGAAAATACACATGTACTGAATCTTTTTTTTTTTGAAGTTTAGCTCACTTTTTTTTTATTGTTTTTATTTTCTTTTGTTTTGGTGGGGGGAGGTAATTAGGTTTATTTATTTATTTATTAACAGCAGTATGGGGGACTGAACCCAGGAGCTCAGGCATGCTAAGCACATGCTCTACCACTGAGCTATACTCCTCTCCCCACCATGTACTGATTCTTGATGCTGTAAGTATTGTTGGCTAGTACAGAAAAAAATCTTTTTGCAATACAGAGTAGGAATATTACATGCCAGCTGGCATAAAAATCTCACGGATGTTAAGCACTCAACAGGAAGAATGGTCATGGTTGTCATACCTTTCTTGAATGTGACTCGCTATCACAGCAAGTTTGTTGGAACGATTCATGAATAAATGAGAATTTCCTAGCACCATCACCGCATCTATGCATTTTGATAAAGTAAACTGTTGAAAAACAGAAGGCAAAAGGAAGATAAATTAGCTACCCAAATGACTACGTCCGTTCTTGACATAATTAAGATTTCATTAAAATTTTACAGTTATTCACTGCTAAAAGTCTGCTCTGGAGCTCCCTCCTCCGAAGCCGTAAGAAAAAGCACTTGAAAACTACAGTTGTCTAATTTCACTTGTATGAGAGCATTTCTGCATCTGTACAATACTCCACAAATGTTTTCTGCATAACATTCAGGGAATAGCAAACATGTCACATCTTCAGTGATAAAATTACCAGCAAATTATTGCTACACATGGAATGGATAATGAATACATACTGATTAACCTGGTGATTTGTAAAATTTTTCAATTCATTCATTCACTAAGTATGCTGAGCACTTATTATGTGCCAGGGGAAGATTCCTTCCTTCATAGAATTTACATCCTCACAATTACTAATATTACTAAAATACATAGGTGGATATTTTTATAATCGTGGAATAAAGCATGTTTCTGTTAAAGAAATACTTCAAGCAGAAAATAAAACTCTCATAAATTTCACTCACTGTTTTTTAAAAATATAAAACAAACCTAGTAACATTTCTGTAGAGCAAAAAACTAACTAAACAAAAGTAAGAGGCAAATTACAAACTGGAAAAAGTAACTGCAACATGTGACAGTGAGTTAAACTTTTAATATAAAGTGTCCACAAATCGTAAGAAAAAAAAAAAGGAACACTCAAAAAGAAAAATGGGCAATGCCCCAAAGGAGAAATACAAAGGGCCATTAAATACTTGGCAGCAAACTGAGATAACTTTTTTTGGTATATCATATCAGCAAAAGATAAAATAAGGAAACAAAGAATCTTGTGTTGGTACAAAAAAAAGAAAAAGGAATGCTCATATACCGCTTATGAGAGCTCAAAATAAGACAGTCTTTCTCCAGAGTGACAGGGTAACATGCTGGTCTAGCCACACAACAGAATCCTGTTCAGCAATAAGAAGGAATGAACTACTGATGCATGTAACAAGGACAAATCTCAAAATAATTATGCTGAGTAAAGTATCCAGACCAAACAAACAAAAAAACACAAAATCCCACTATATATACTATTTCAGTCCATATATACAAATATCTGAAAAATGCAAACTAAGCTATAGTGACAGAAAGCAGATCAGTGGTTGCCTCGGGGTGGGCACAGGCAGAGAGGTGGGTGGGATAAATTACAAAGGGATATGAAGAAACTTTTGAGAGTAATGGATCTATATGTTCATTATTTTGATTGTGGTGATATTTTCATCAATGTATCCATACCATATGTGAAATGTAACATAACAAATTAAGCACTTTAAATATGTGAAGTCTGGGGGAGGGAATAGCTCAGTGGTCGAGTGTGTGCCCAGCATGCACAAGGTCCTGGGTTCAATCCCCAGTACTTCCACTAAAAATAAATACATAAAAATCTAATTACCTCCCCTCCCCCCCAAAAAAACCTAAAGCAAACAAGAAAGAATAAAGCAAATGCAGTACTTCAAAAAAACAAAAACTTAAAAAAAATGTTAAGTTCACTGTACGCCACCTATAGCTTGATAAAGCTATTTTTAAAAAAGACATCACTAAGAACATGAAAAGAAGGGAGGGGAGTGGGAGGGGATGAGGACAATAGGTGAAAGGGATTAAGAGGTACAAACAACCAATTATAAAATAATTAAGTCACAGGGATGTAAAGAACAACACAAGGAATACAGTGATACTGTAGTAACTGTGTACTGTGTGTAATGTATAAAAATACAGAATCACCATGGTGTTCACCTAAAACTGTCAACTATACTTCAGTAGGAAAAAAAATGCAAAGACAAGCCACAAAGCTGTAGACAAGGAGGAAACATTTGAAAATCATATATCTGACAAAAGATTTGTATCTAGAATATATAAATAACTCTTACAATTCAATAACAAGAAAATAAACAATTCAATTTAAAAATTGGACATAACATCTGAATACAAATTTCACCAAAGAAATACATGAATGGCTAATAAGCCCAAGAAAAAAGGACTCAACATCATCAGCCATTAGGGAAATGCAAATTAAAACCATAATGAGATATTACTACCTACAACAGAATGCCTAGAATCAAAAAGACAAACGAGTGTTGGCAAGGATGTGAATCAAAAACTGGAGCCCTCATACACTGCTGATGGGAATGGAAACGGTGCACCCACTTTTGAAAAGTTTGGCAATGTCTTAAAAAGTTCAATCTAAACTTACCATATGATCCAGCCATTCAACTCATAGGTATCTACTCAAGAGGAATGCAAATACATGCTTATACACACACTTGTTTTTATAGTATGTAAACTATACCTTAATTAAAAAGCAACATAAACATATACTTGGTCAAACCAGAATTATCCAAAAGCCCTCTCAAGCACTCTTACCTGAGATTCCTTTAACGCTTGCTTTCCCCACCAGATTGGGTTGGTATCAACTATGATAACCAGAAGATTCAGTTCATCTTCTGAAAATATGACAAAAAACTTAAAAACATTAGCCTCATAAAAGTGTGACAAAACTTAACATTTTCAATCTGTAAATTAAATCCAGAGCAAGCACCACTACGTCTTTACATGGCTACCATCCTCCAATCATGAGATTAACATAAGGCCAAGTTCCTTTACAGATTTAGAGCCCTGGGGGCCCTCAGCAAGCTCTTGCTGGCCTTCTGCACATCTACACCTTTCATGCACTAGAATGTAAGCTCTGTGAGGGGGGATCCTGTCTGTTTTGTCACTGCTCATCCTCTGCTCCTAGCACGTTGCCTAGCACGTGGTGGATGCTCAAAAAATATCTATTATATGAACCCAAAGATATTTGCATTTTAAATGGCTAGTGAAGGACAGAAGAAACTGATTAATCAGTAGTAAGAAACACTAGCAGTAGAATTGCGGGCATGGGGTAGGGTTTTTAAATGGAGACACAAATCAGTCTGGCTCCAAGTCACCTAGCAGCAAGGCCAATTAAAGGTGCAAATCAAAGTGAAAAGCAATTGCTATGTACAGATTTTACTGTGAAAAGAATTAGGCTACTCTCTCCAAAATGACAGACATGACTAAACAGGCTAACTTAACACAGTAATTCATTCAACAAACGTTAACACTAAGTACCAGTGTTAGGTGTTGGCGATACTGAGTCCAAGCCCTCAAAGAGCCTACATTCTAACTGTGACAGACATATGGACCCGTAAGCACACACTGTTATGAAAAACCCAGGATGCTCATTTAATAGCAAAAAGCAACAATGCCTATCTTGACCCCATACCTTTCTTCCTCCACTTCCCATCTCCTGTATCAAGATACTCCCACCTCATCTTTGATTTCTGCTTACCTACCCAAATCCTATATACTCTCCAGGGCCCCAAATCAATGCTACCTCTTTCTTCAAAAGCCCTCGCCAGGTTTTCCAACAGGTCCTGGCTCCCCCATCTCAGGAGGGTGGAAATATCAGCCCCTGTGCATCAGGCCCTGGCACACGTGATCCTACAGTCCCATCCCATGCTGACAATAACACAGCAAGAGACTTCTTTTGCTATCTTTCACCAATTGTAAGATGTACTCCCTCTTTTTTTTTTTTAACATTGGACAGTTGCTGAAATCAGGATGGTATCTTAACATTATGACTGACTGACAGTATTATATTTTCTCTTAGCGGTACTAAATAAAAGCACATTTCATAATCAATATTGTCTTAGATTAGATGAAATAAGCTGTTCCTACTTTGCAAAAGAAAATAACCTGCTCTAAGTCACATGGCCTGTAGCAAGTAGCAAAGCCAATATCCAGCTTTGAAGACAGATCTGCTTGACTCTAAAGACTGGCTTTTTAGTGCCCCAGTGCCTCCTTCTGACCACACACAGCATTGCCCCTCTCCTAATGACAGTACTCACTACCTCATTTGACGGTTAGCTATGTTTCTGATCTCTCTTCCCATCTCTGCCCATTAAACCATGGACTCCTTAAAGAATGAGAAATGAGTAATGTAGTATCAAGCACAAAAGCAGCACTTAATAACTGTGTCTCCCACAGGCCCTCACTCCTCTACCCATAGCCTTTAGCCTTATTCTCCAACAGGCCCCACCCCACAATTCTCAAGGCCATAAAGTTCTTCCTACTACCAAGCTCGAGAAAAATGCAGTGTTGCCTGTCAGGAGAGGAGTGTATCCATACACATGGAACGTCCCTGTGAATTTTCTTCTTTGTGTCTCTAACTCTTCATTTGTTGCCAGGGGCCATACCAGATCTGCCTCCCTCACAGGGTTGTGATAATTATTAAAACAAATAAAGGATGTCCGGACACTTGTTACTGCCTCCAAAAAAATCTGTATCTATTCCTGCCCTCCATAATCCATTTCCCACACAGCAACCAAAGCAATCTTTTAAAATCATAAAACAGACAGTAACACTTCTTTGATTAAAACCCTAAAATGGCTTTGTATTACGCTTAAAAAATAAATCTCAAGCTCTTTATCATGGCCCACAAGGGCCCTGCACCTGGCTGGCTCACTCGTCCCTCTAGCTCACCTTGCTCCTGCCACCCTGACCTCTTTTTTCTCCTTTTACAATATCAGGCCGTGTAACTAGCAGTTTAATGTATGAAAGAAAGGCTCTCCACCTTCCTCTACCCCTATATGCCCCCTATCCGCCTTCCCATTGTAACAGACTGACTCAACTTGCCACGGGGCCTTCACAAAGTCATTCGAGTCTGAGTTTCAATACCACCGGTCTTCCCTGGACCCCTATCTAAAATAGCTCCTCGTCCTCATCTCCTAATCACAATCGACAACATCATCACATCATGTTATCTTCACAGCTCTTGTCACGCTTCGAAATTATTTTTATTTACTTGCCTATTGTCTGCCTCGCTCACCAGACTGTAACCTCCACGAGTGTGTCACGTTCTCTACTGTATTTCCCAGGGCATAAAATAACGCCTGGCACACTAGGCGCGCTCCAAAAATATCTACTGAATGAATGAATACATCAGCCACTCCTCCAAGCACCAAACAGTTTCCACCCAGTCCCTAAAATATACTCCATCCGGCCGGCGCTGGCCGGACAAAGTCTGCCGAGCCCCGGGGTCCGAGTCCTCGGGCCCTCACCGCCTAAGACCCGCGGGAGCGGCCCTCACCGTCTGAGACCATGGCGGCCCGGATCTCTCAGCGCACAGCCAGCTGCGGTCAGGCAGGCCTCCCGGAAACTGTTAATCCTGACTTCCGGCGCTGCCAAATGACGTGTGAGGCGGCTTTGCTCAGGCCGCGCGCCGTACCCACGGCCCAGCCTCCAAAGCGCCGGAAGTGGAATGCAGAGTGGCGCCGCGCGCTGTCAGTCTCTGTGGCTCGGAGCCCGCGCGGTTGCGGGACCCATCCTGGCAACGAGGGCAGCTCTGGACCCCTTGGGCTCCACGGTCCGGAGGGCACGATGGACTCCAAGGGTAAGGCGGGATGTGACGGGCCTGCTGGGCCTAAAGCGGAGCCGCGCAGGGTTCCCTCCACCTCGCAAAAACGCCCCGACTGGGCTCCGGGAGAGGTCCCTTTCCGAGCTCAGGCTGTTTGGCTGGATGTGGTTCCTCGAGTCACGACTAAAACTCTTTCGCTGCTCCTGTAGCCAGGGAATGGGTCCTGGGGGTATCCCCATACAACCCCTCTCCCCACGCTTTCCAGTGTCTTCTTCCAAAAAGTGAGACTTAGGACGAAGTGTGCAGGTCTTCGCAGTCTTGATTTCCTCGTATGTGAAGTATGAGTAAGACTCTGCCCTGTTGGATTTGGTACTTAAAAGAAAGGGCGTATTTGATGTGCTCATCTAGTGTGCTTATCAAGGTGTTTTATTAACTGAAGGACAAGGGCAAACTAATATATATTGTACCTTTCGTGTAAAAAATAATAGCGGGGTGGACCTCTACATACACATACGTGTATATGTTTATGTCGGTGAATAGGCTTAACTTGGCATAGACTGTCTGGAGGGGTGCAGGAGAAGTCGGTAAGGTGGATGACTCTGGGATTCTTTCAGGACTTGGGGTTAAGGATAAAGAGGAGAATGACCTTTCACTGTCATTTGATAGAGCTTAAATTTTATGCCATTGTACATGGATAGCTTTTTCAAAATGGGAAAGAGCTTGCAAATAGTGATGTGATGTCATCCCTGTTCCCATAAACATTTATGGTACCCCTGAAGCCAAACACCCTGCAAAGTTAATATTTTAAAAATTTGTCTGCTTCTTAAGGTCTGCAGTCATTGATAAGCTCTCTGATCGTCCATCCTGCTAAATGAATTTGATGAATCACTTTTTTTCCCTTTCCAGAGTTAATTGAATATTTTAAGTCTCAGATGAAAGAAGATCCTGACATGGCCTCAGCAGTAGCTGCCATCCGGACTTTGCTGGAGTATTTGAGGAGAGACAAAGGTAAAGAGGGTCCCCCCCAAGCACTCGGGGTGTTAGGAAAGCCAGCTCATAACTCAGAAGTGTAGAAAGTGAGAGACACCCGTGTGCCTGCAGAAGGTAATGCAGCCCCAAGCTCTGCTTCTCCCTGCATTTCAGTCCTCCTTTTGACTTCAAGAGAGCCCTCAAGTCATCATCAAAAGGGTCCCCCTTCACAAATGAAATATACTCTGAATCAAGAATGACCATTTTTATATCAGGTTAACTATGAAGCTTAAATTATAGCCATAGTTCGGCTTCACAAGTGTTTATTGAGCTTCTGTCCTGTGGAAGATTCTTTATAGTTGCTATAGAGACTATTCCACTATAAACTCTGGTATTAATGTCATCATTGTGATCACTACTAATTCAGACATCCTAAATGTAAGCATCTGGGTATAAGCGTAATAATAGTAACAACAACAAAGCCTTCTTTAACTTAAAGGGCTGGCCTAGAGGTGCGTGGCTCTGAGACAGCCTCCAGTGTCTTCCCATTGTACTTACAATAACATCCGAACACCTGAGCCTTATGCTCAACACACCGCAGACCTCTTCTGTGTCTGCTACTTAACTTCCTTCCCTGCTGTCCCTCACTGAACTGTGCTTCACTCTGGCCTCTCTTTGTTTCTCTTACCAACTTTGTTTCCATCTCGAGGCCTTTGTGCTGTTACAGTCTGCATCTGGAACTTTTCCCACTGGATCTTTATGCGGCCGGATCCTTTCTTACTCACATCTCTGTTTAAATGGCCCTCACTCTGAGAGGCCGTCCTTGTTAATTCTCTCAAGGAGCTCTACCTTTTTCATCATTCTTTTTTCTGTCTTCATGTCATTCTGTGATTACCTTGATTGTTCCTTTGTGTGCTTGTTTACTGTCTGCCTCTCCAACTGGAAGGGGGTTCCATCAGAGCAGGGATCCTGTCTGTCATGTTCACTGATGTATCTCTGCCATCTTCAATAGTGCCTGGCATACAGCCTGCACCCAGTAAGCATTGCTTGAATGAATGAATGAATCACAGACGCATCCAGGGGATGTGATACTAAAATGAACATCACCTTCCTCGTGTGCTCATCCCAGGGGAGACGATCCAGGGCCTGAGAGCGAACCTCACCAGCGCCATCGAAACCCTGTGCGGCGTGGACTCCTCTGTGGCCGTGTCCTCAGGCGGGGAGCTCTTCCTGCGCTTCATCAGCCTCACCTCCCTGGAATACTCCGTGAGCCCCTGCCCGCCCTCCTTTACCCTCTGCTTGTCTGTTTGGCCACAAATATTCTCAGCTTACCTGGATCCTTTCTTTCCCTTCATTTTGCTGTCTTCTTCCTAGGATTACTCCAAATGTAAAAAGATCATGATTGAGCGGGGAGAGATTTTTCTGCAGAGAATATCACTGTCGAGAAATAAAATCGCAGATCTGTGCCATACTTTCATCAAAGATGGGGCAGTGAGTAGATCTTGGTCATGTGCGGTAATCGGGAACAAGGACTTCGGAGCTGGACTCCTGGGATAAAATCCTGCCTCTGCCACTTACTTGCTGTGTTACCTTGGACAAGTTACTTAGCCTCTCTGGGTTGCAGTTTTCTCATCTGTTAAATAAGGGTGATAATAGTAGCTAGCTCATAGGGCTGTTGTGAGGATTAACGGGATGGCATGTGTGAGGACTCTGCACTGTGCCCAGCACAGAGTAGGCCCTGTGTAAATGCAGCCATTACTGTCGTGGACGGTTGTCATCTTAAACAGGCAGAGAAAGCCCCTGGGACAGCAGGGATGATTCTTGATTTAATAAGGTGTCTTACTAAAGCGGTATTTGTTATTATTGCATATGTACTAAATTAATCTGAATTAGATCAACACAGAA